AAGCAGCAGAGTGAGGAGCAGAACCCTAGAAGGGAAGACGGGCCCCGAGGGAGGCAGAGCGAGGAGACTGGGCAGATCAGCCAAGAGAACCTTGGCCCAAGTAGCGGGTGGCCAGGGGCTACCCCTCCTCCTCTGACCCCTTCACCCACCGAGCCACAGACGTTTCTTCCCCCTTCCCAGACCATGCACCCGGAGGAAGCAACTCCACGGGGAGCGGGTATTTAATTCTCCACCCCCTTGTCATTTCTTGGCCTAAGCTGAGGCTGCCACAAAAGGGGCCAGTTAGTGCCAATTGTGATGACCTTGTAGACACAGATCCCAGAGGCCAATGAATGGTGGCAAAGAGAGTCTCCATTACGCATCACCCTCCCACTCAGCCTGCTGGTCCCCCCCCCGAGCTCTTTGCCAGGGCAGAGAGTACGTTTGCTTTTTGCCGTCTTTCCATTTCGTTTGTGGAAGCCGGAAACATCTAAGCCACCTCTTGGTAAACGATTTATTCACGCGGGTTTTTGTTTCGCTATCGTGAGAGTAAATCATGAGTCATTCACCACAAAACAAATTAAAAGACAAGACAACAAAACTGCACGTAGGGACAGTAAGCAATGAGTAATTCTGCCCAGTTCTCTGCTTCCAGGGAAATTAGCCTCCAGCTGGCCTCGCTCCAGTTACTCTTCTTTCTTCAGGCCTAGACATCACACAGGTTAAATATGGCTTAAGCAAGCCAGGGGAGCGAATTCATTCTCCCCCACTTCCTTCTGTGTGGAGTACTCTGCTTTTCGAATAGTTGAGAGTTCCTAATTATTCCCTGGATAGTTCTGATTGTTAGCTGTGTCACTGTAACACTGTAACACTAACTTTGTTAGCCCTTCATCACTACAGCTGAGATCCAGCAAACTCTGTGCACGCAGGGAGTTTGGGGAACCATGTCACACAGACCTGTAGGGGAGGCACTTACATTGCCAACCCCAAATGTTCAACAATCATGAGTTAGGTCTACCAAAAATCATGAGACTGGCTTTAAAATCATGGAGATTATGTACAAATAACAGATGTGGTGTTCTTTTTAAATGCCTTTCTGAGCCTTTAGGGTGCGCCGGGGTCACATTTTGAAGCTTTCTGCACATCCAGGAGGGCTGGAAACTAACTTTTTCTATAAGACTGAAGGCTGAAATCATTGCATGTCCCACTTGACTCCAGGAGCTGGGGCTTTAAGGAAACAATAATGACCATGAGACTCAGGACAAAATCACAAGAGTTGGCAACACTGAATATTTAGTACCATGAAAGTGAGTCTATGGAACTTGTGTTGGATAATGTCACCGTTAGGACTTTGCCAGAAGTAGCAGAACCAGTTAGCTCAGATGCCCAGTAACCAGGGAAACGCCATGGGACAAGCCAGGAAGTGAAAGTTATTAAAGCTAAATTGTCCAGAAAGATCCTATTGGGCAGAGGGGCGTGCGCAGGCTCCTAGAGATGCCTGGAAATGGAGGCGTCCCTGCATGGGCATAGGGACCTTTCCGCTCAGTTTCACTCGTTCCTCCCCATCTCACAAGCTTTAGGTTTGGATGGCTCCCAGTGAGCAAGCGTGTGGGGGAGGGGACAAGCTCCATCACTAAGGCTCCAGCCAGAGAATCTCAGACTGTCTTGCCGTGTTTCACCAGGAACTCAATGGTATGGGGAGAGCCCGGAGAGCCCCCAGCCCTCCACAGCATGGCTTCCTGTCAGGCCTTGAGACGGGGGTGAAGAGCGGATCGCACTGCCTGGAGGTGCTAGGCCTTGGATCTCACCATTAGTCTGCCATCCTGTGTCACTGTGTCCCATACACTTTTGCACTTTCTGTTAGCAGAGACCTGGCGCTGCCCTTATCGGTCTCCCTGGCTGGCTGAGTATGCCATGGCCAGTGGTAACGGCAGTAGTGCTGGACGTGCGGCTTGTGTGCATTTGCAGGCCATGGTCCATAACCAGATATCAGCATCCTAGAGAGGGAGATTTTCATGGAGCCAGAGGTAGACCTGACTTGGATGCAATATGCTTCTCTTGCATAAAGAAATGGTTTCTGCTCCTGCCTCACATTTGGGGAATCACAGAGTTAATTGTACGGGGCTGGGGGAAATGTTCTCTTCCTAAGAGCGTTAGGGTGAAGCTGTGGGCGTGTCTGGGGTGCAGTTGATGGAGCTGTTTGATGCCAACACGCTCAGAGCCAAGGTGAATGTTTCTCTCCACTGCCCCCATTTGATGCTGATTTGCCAGGTAACTGTGCTGCCCAGCGGTAATGGTTTGATCTATCTAATGTTGACTGTACTTTACCACGCCGTCTGTAACGGTAGTAACTGCAGGTTTTGAGGCAGGTGCCCTGTGTGCGGTGTGTTTGGGTGACTGCTGGACTAGGAGGAGCCTAGAGCATGAATGCAGACAGCACCCAAGCTCTCCTGGGAAACCCTGAGTGCTGCTTCAGGTCTGCTCAGTTCAGCATATTTGCAAAGCTGTAAATCTAGGGTGACCATGTGTCCCATTTTGGCCAGGACAGTCTCTTTTTTAAGCCCTGTCCCGGCCGTCCTGACTTTTTTTGCAAAAGTGTGCATTTGTCCCGTTTGCTCTTGCCAACTTGATCAGTTGGGGGGAGCAGGGCTCGGACGGGGGAGCAGGCAGGAAGTCAGGAGCAGGAAGTCAGGAGAGCAGCGACGCCAGCCCCACACAAGGAGGGAGGGGGGCTTGGGCTCGCCCCACACAGTGTCCCATTTTCCTTTTGGGAAATATAGTCACCCTATGTAAATCCCGTTCTTACAAACTGAGCTCTCCAAGCCCTCCCCCTTCACGGTGCAGCTGTGGCCCTGAGTCAAATGGTACGTGCAGTGGTGGGACAGGGCAGAAGGAGGAAGGAAGAAATTTAGTTTCTGATGATTGGTCAAAGAGCGTGTCCATTCCTTAAGTAAGGTAGACACAAGATGAAGTAATGAAATATTCTGAGTTAGATTCTGAATTTCTGATCCTTTGCATTATTGTCTTAGTACCTTGGTTTTGACTGGCTTTTCTGGGTCCTGTGCTGATTGGCTGTTTGCTCCAACCCTCCTCTCCACCTCAGCTCCACTAATCCACACCTGTCCCTCTCCCCCTCCTTCCCTTCATGTAGTTGATCCCCTCCTAAGTAACACCTCCCACAAAAAAAGTCATGGCCCTACCATGCCATCTGCTGGTGTGTTCTACCCCTTTCCCTGCCCTGTGTCTGTCTGGTCTATTTAGACTGTAGGCTCTTCAGGGCAGAGACGAAGTGGGCATTCACCCACGAAAGCTTATGCTCCAATACATCTGTTAGTCTTAAAGGTGCCACAGGACTCTCTGTTGCTTTTTACTACTCTGTATTTGTACAGCACAGAGATTGATCTGGGGGTGCTTGAGCTCAAGGATTCTATGTCCCATTTGGGATTTGCCATGAGGGTGAAAATGACGCTAGCACAATGGGACCCCATTCTGGGGTCGCCCATCGGTACTACCGACATAAACACAATTGATAATAATTCCCAAATTATTCTAGAATAGACATTTCTAAACAAATTAATAGTAAAACTAACACTAAATAAGTCAGGTACTCAGTACAAATTACCCAGCATTGCTACAGCGAGTTTGTTCTTATACTTCACTACTTCATTGGTTTTAATGTCAAAACTCAACATTTCAATAAAATTTTACCCACCGTTGTACTGAATTCACTAATAAATAATGAGCCTAGCAAGCAAAACCAACCACCATGCAATCTTCGCTTTGAAACATGCTCTGCAAAGAAAACTGCAGTCATAAGTACGCAAAGCAGGCCAGGAATCTCCTACCAGAGTAGCTCTGTGATCAAAGTGACAAGAGAAGTTCTGTCACTCAAGAGTTTTTAAACTATGCCAGCTAGCCAGACTCTACGTCAGAGAAGTTGAATTAGACACTGTGAGAAAACTGCATGAGCTCTACCGCCACTGCAGCGCCTCCATTACAATCCCCAGTGGAACTGCACCGACAATACATTATGGAGATTTTCTATTAATAAACATGCTATTATTACTACTGGTGTCGTGCTCTACAGCCTCAGTCATTTCATTGAATGAGGCATTATACAAATGTGTGGTAAACATCAGGCCCTGCCTCCCAGCGGCTACAATTTCAAAACAAGACACAACAGACAGCTGACTAAACAAACAGGCCAGGGAAAGTCAATGGGAGTTAGGTGCTTTTGAAAATCCCACTAGGCACCTATCTGCCTCTTTCGGTGCCTAAACACCTTTGTGAATCTGGCTCTAGACTCTTGCAATTTTCACCTTAAAACAGCTCCTTTGAAATATTTTTACTCATTTGCATTTTTCTGTCACCCTATCTCTGCCAAACAAAGCCACCTAGCACAACAAACATCCATACGTAGGTACATTTGGACATTGGCTCCTTCAACAGGTAAAGTGGCCAGGTGCCCGGTTTTCGACCAGAAAGTCCAGTCGAAAAGGGGACCTGACAGTGTCCGGTCAGTACTACTGACCAGACACCCAAAGTCTGGTTACTGCAGGCGGGGAGGCACCGGATCATCACCCACGCCAGCCCCTACTCAGCCAGGGCTGCCTCCTACCTGTGTCGGGCGGCTGCAGCTCCCAGCCCCGGCTCTGCAGGTGAGTCCCTTCTGACCCAGGTTCAGGGGGGGAAAGCAGCAAGTGATGGGAGGAGGGGGAAAAAGAAGCAAATGGGGGCGGTGCCTTGGGAAAGAGGTGGGGCAGAGGCAGGGCCTCAGGGGGAAGAGGCGGGGAAGGGGTGGGGCCTCAGGGGGGAAGAGGTGGGACAGGGAAGGTTCGGGCACTTCTGCTGGAGTGTCCATTTTTAAAATATTACAAAGTTGGCAACCCTATCAACAGGCAGGATAGTGAAATGTTTCAGAAATTAACATATGTAGAAAACTGCTCAATTCTCTGTCAGTGAAAGCAATGGAGAAGGGAATGTAGTTTATGACTTCACACTAGAAAA